TACAGTTACGAATTATAATTGTCATATTTCCCTGTTATTGTACAAGTTTGACAATAAAAAAAAAACAGATGAACAAAAAAGAGACAGTTCACAGTAAAAAAAAAAATAAACAAACATTTAACATTTCAATGCAATAATTATAATCAGACATCCATGTGTTGATTCGAATTACATTAGGAAGTATTTATATTGTTTAGTATTGCTATCACATCAAACTTACACTACTGCAAATATTTTATTTTACGTTTAAAGATAAATAGATACATTTTAGCGTTTATTATTATAAATTGAAAAAATTTCTAGTAATACCAATCGCATTAAAATGTCTATAAACTGGACACGGAGGCTGTATGCAGTTCTCAGTGGTGAAGTAGTGTTACAGTGACACCTGGTGGACGCAAAGTGAAGCGTTTCACGTGTGCAAAAACATTTTAATATCAATAAACGCAACGACGAGCTTATTAAACATCAAAAGCCTTTTAAAACGCAAGTATTTAGTTCAAGGCATGTCATGGATAATACATGAAGTAAAAAAAAATAATTAAATAGCTTAAATATTTCATTTATTATTTATATTCATTACTTCTGTTAATTTTTGTTCATTTTAAGGCAATGATTGTGTTGCTTTATATGAAATATTACAAATATTTATAAAATTGTTTGTATAACATTGTTAAATCTCAGATTATTTTAGTCACCAACAGTGGAGTATTATATTCGACTTTTCATTGATAAAAACGAGTGTTTATGCAGTGAGGTGGATTATTAATATTATTAGTTTCATTTTATTTATTTCAAGTGATTGTAGCAATATAGGTGTTCTCCCTTTTTCACCGACCATTATATGAAATGCATTTCACTTTGCATTTAGACGATTACTTTGTTGTTGTTTTTTTTTTTTTTTTGCTATGATGCTTTAGTTAAAAGATGTACTTTTACTCACGGATGATTAATAAAGATCTGAAAGTAAGATACTTGTATTTCTCTTAAAAAAAACTGAGCTCAACAGAGATCTTCTGGTCTTTTTCTGTAAAAGGAATGGCTGTAACTTCCAGAAAATAGCATTTTAAAAAAGTTTCTTTGAGCGGAAATGCCTTGTTGATGATAAAAGATAAAGACCTTTTGTAAACTTGCATTGAAACCGTACTTACTGTGAAGAGCACTACGCAGTACACAAATAAACTTGACTTGAAAAGACAATAGTTAATAAAATAAGAATTATTCAAAACAACTGATATCTGAAGAAGAGAATCTCTAAACACACTACACGACAAACCTTGAAGCAGATGAGCTACAGCAGCAGAATATAATAAACTACTATTGAAGAACGCTGGCCTGCCTTCTGTCTTGTATCCGCTCTTCAGGTGTAAGTGCGTGGAGATTAACTTGAAATTTCATTGGCAGCAGTTGAGCTTTTCTTAAACCCCGCAGCCTACCTGACTGCTGATACCGACATTTGTAGTGCATCCCACAGTGTCTCCATCTTGTGATGAAACTACTTCCAAAAGCTTGAGAAGCACACAAATCATCTCAACCTTCAATAAACTCTAGTCTCCAGATCTTCAGCGCTGGAACAGGAGATTCACATTAGGAATGCAGTCCACAAATCTGAGGCAAAGAGTCAACGAAGTGTCCAACCAGGAATCAGCAACAAGAGGTATCTAAAAAAAAAAAACGTTGTATAATGGTAAAGCAGATTTGCCACTCTAAATCAAATACCAAGTGGCCAGACATTACTTCAACTAAAAATGAACAGAAAACAGGTTTCTGTTGTGCTTTGAATAATATCAAAATGGTTTTTATCAATATTTAGTTTTTCTTTTTTCTGTAGCATTTTGCTTCACTTAACAGCCACTATGAGAACCGCAATGGATAATTTACCTCTGATTTTGATAAAAAATAATTCTCAGGTGCACTGAAAAAAATGATGTCTGCAGTTGATGTATGCATTTGTTTGTGTTGAATTTAAACAAATAAAATGTAGTAAAGTTCAACTTAATTTGTTTAAATTCAGCCCAAATAAATTGTTTACACTTAAAATAATCAGTAAATTCAAGGACTCATCTTTGAATATTTTTTTCAGTGACCGGTTTCTTCATTATTTGACCTCTCTTAAGTAGTTGATTCAATTTAGCATTTAGTTTTTCTGTTGTTTACTTTTTAACAGCATGTGAAGTGATCAGTTTGAAGACAAAGCTCCTAAAATGTATATTATCCTGACATGTTAAACTTATTTAACAGTTTGTGGTGATCACATTTGATTTCAGTGATGGCCGGATGATTACCTCAATTTAAATATAGTCAAGTGCAGTAATTGGGTTGAAAGTTGAGTCAACACAAAAATGTCCGGAAGTTTGTTGCGTTAGAGTTTGTTGAGTTGAGTTGCGTTAGAGTTTGTTGTTTGTTGCGGAAGTTTGTTGAGTCAAATTTTTTTATTTTTTTTTACAATTTAGCCATACATGTAACAGGAGGCATGAAACCATGAAGTGTACTGAAAAAAATTATTCAAAGATGGTTCCTTGGATTTACTCAATTCTTTTACGTTAAGTGGTTGTAAACAATTTATTTGGGCTGAATTTAAACAAACAAATTTAGCTGAACATTATCAAATTTACTTTGTTTAAATTAAACACAAATATTGTTTGTAACAGTTCTTCATGCAACACTTTTTCCCCCCATTCTTCTACAGCTTAGTACCTGTATTTGCAGGGGTTGTCACAGCGGAATGAACCGCCAATTTATTCAGCATATGTTTAAGACAATGGATGCCCTTCCAGCTGCAACCCGGTACTGGGAAACATCCATACACATTCATTCACACACATCCACTACAGCCAGTTTAGTGAATTTAATTCACCTATAGTGCATGTTTTTGGACTGTGGGGGAAACCAGAGCACCTGGAGAAAACTCATGCGAACATGGGGAGAACATCCACACAGAAATGAAAACTGATCCAGCCAGGACTCAAACCAGCGATGATCTTGCTGTGAGGTGACAGTGCTAACCACTGAGCCACAATCTCACAAAAAAAAAATAAAAAATAAATAAAAAATGGTCTAGAAATATAAATGTTCTCTGCCATTGCCCAACTTAAATGTACATGTAAACAGTAATAAATGTATATGAACAAAACCTCTTCAAATGACATGCTATTCCAGAAATTCCATGACCTGTGAGAACTCTGGTAAAAAGTAATAAACAACCAATACAATTAACAAATATTTAATGAAATAATAATTATAGCAGTGGTATGGGTTTTGCTGTTGAGATGTGATGTAGCTCACGTTTCCACACTCTGAAATGAGAGACTTGGAAATACAGTTAGAGTCATGTTTATTTACAGCAGAATCCTGACTAAGAAGAAAGGGAAGGTTATGAGAGCTGAAATGTTCTCAGTACAGCTCATATGGATCCACATTTCACTACACTTTTTAATTTATTTATTCAAATTTTTATACAGAACCCTTTTGGCTGTTAATGTTGATAGCCCAACAGAGCTTAGCGCCCTCTGCAGGCAGGGAGGACGATGGGAGGGGAAAAAAAAAGACCAAAGTACAAAATGAAAATCCACAGCATTAAAGGGAAAGTGGAGAAAAAAATACAAATGATGTGATAAAACAAAAACAAACCGAAAAAAAAAACAAAGAAAAAAAGCAAAGTTTTCATTAAAAAAAACGAACATTTGAGATTATTTTCAAAGCGATCACCATGATGGTCAGTTTAAATTGTTCTTTTTTTTTTCTGGTAATGTCTGTAAGGGTGGCAGAGGGACAGCAAGGAGGGCTGTTGTGAATAAAATGATGTCCGTGATGCTCAGGTTAACCGTGTGTCCCACTGCCAAGCAAACGTTCATATTGAATATTCAGACAACGCACTGCCAATGTTTGCGCGAGGTCCACGCTGGCCGTGGGACTCGAGACCCCTGTCCGTTTATCAATCCTCTTGTGCAACTCTTCATCCACGACCACGTGTCTGCATCTCAGAGTTTCAGAGCGAGACTGCCCTGAAAAAAAACGCAGCTTTGAAGAACGACACGCTGTACAATTGACATGCAAGGCCAGACGACTAACAGATTAAAAAACCGGTAACAACTGTTAAAAAAAAAAAAAAGAAAGAAGAAGAAAAAAAGCAAACAGACTGAGCCAGCAAAATGCATTATTTCTACAACATTACGCTCAATCACACAGAACTCGCACCTCGATTCCAGTTTCATCAGAGCCAATTGTGTTGAAGGAATGACTACAAATGAAGGAAAACAAAAACATTAATGCTTGAAATACTAGTGGAAAACAAAACTCGGCCCGTTTAAATTAGTACAATCCTTTAAGAGTCCCTCCAGGAGCACGACAGAGCTCATCTTCAGTGGTCCAATCAGCGCCCACGGAGGAGACGGCATACATTCATACATAAACACAAACGTAAACACACGCACACCCTTCGCTTCAAAGGCCGAGTTGCGCAAACGGTCCATTTTGCAGTAAAAGTGACCTAGGCAGAGCTGTTAGGCCCATTTGTAGGGGTTTGGGGGTGGGGAGGGTGGGGTGAAGAAAGGTGAAGGAAGAAAATTATTTCCATTTTGTTTCGTTTACGAGATCTAAAAGCAACGAAAAACAGTTCCATTTAAATGCATTTTCGCACACGCACTCACACACATACACGCAATCTCGCGCACACTCGCACCTCGACATGATAACCCCTAATACATGTGTACACATATATACAAAGAGCTGTATGCCCTCAAAATTTATAATGCATCATTTCTGTATATGCCAAGAATAAAATCTTTCTAAATAAAATACATGTTTCTGCGAAGGAAGGGCTTGTTAGAGGGGGAAGGAAAGGATGCGGGTGGGGATTTGTCAGGGAAAGAGGAAGAGAGAACGAAGGAAGGAAAGGGGTGGGGGGGGAACAACGCTGTCCTCTACTGTGTGCTGGTCCCTTATATAGGGTCATCGTCATCCCAAGCTGTGGCGGAATCTACGTTCGTCGTCCACAGTTTCGTTTAGATCAGTAAATAATCAAGAAGTCGCAGTCTGTAAATCCATAATGGAGCCAGACGGCACAAATGGAAACACACGTGGAGCTCAAACAGGCTCCGGTCACGTCCAGATCCGGAAAAGTGTAGCTTAGTTCAGTAAAACAGGAAAAAGGGATGATGGGATAGAAGAAAGAGAGACTGAGAGAGACAGAGAGATAAAGATGGAATGAATAGGAAGAAAGGAGGAAAGGACAGCTATGGAGACGTGTGGAGCGCATGAATCCATCTGGCAGTGAAGTCCGCGTACGGCTGTTCATCCGCTGGCTGGAGGATGACAAAAGGAATGAGGGATGATGAGAAGACGAGTGCGGTTCCTCTCTTCCGACCTCTCTCTTTCTCTCTTTCTCTGGTAAGTTCGGGAGGCTGGCCGGAGCAGCATCATACCTCCAGGAAGCGGGAGCTGCTGGATTTGGCGTGAAAGGGCTCGGACCACATGCGCCGCAGGTCCCCCTGTGGAAACACAGAAGAAGACAGAATTACAGCCAGTTCACTTGAGCTTATGACAGCGACTTGCTTCAGAACGGATAAAGGGTGATTTATGTGACTTGAATGTGCTGTTGTTGGTGTTAGATGGGCTGGTTTGTGAATTTCAGAACCTGCGGATCTACTGGAACTTTCACAAACAGCAATTTTGTGAAAAGTTTGTTAACACCAGGGGCCTCATGTACGAAGACTTGCGTGGAAATCTTACTAAAACATTGCGTACGCACAAAGCTGTAAATGTGCGTACGCAGAAAAAAATTCAGATGTATGAAACACTGCGTACGCCGAATCTCACGCATATTCTTTTGTACATCTGAATGAACGTGAAACTTAGCGCAACATGCACGAGCGCAAAACCCCTCCCTGCCTCCTCCCTAGTATGAATATGCTAATGACTATGCTAATGGCAAAACCCAACGAAAAAGCAACGGCAAAAGCAAGCAAAAAGAGAAACTTTGAACAGAATGTGAATTGGAGGTGCTGCTTTCGGAGGTAGACCGGAGAAAAGCGGTGTTATTTGCAAGTTTTTCCTCCGGAATTAACAACAAAAGAAAAAAAATAGAGTGGGAGAGTTTAGCTGATGCGGTTAACACAGTTGGGTCTGAACATCGCACTGAGTGCATTAAAAAAAGAAATAGTCTGGTTTATATCTGTAAAATGTTGCAGCACTCTTAACAGTCTCAGTGGCGCGTTCGTAAGACACATGTCAACATGTTTTGACACGTTCGAGCATGAACTCGGCTCGAATCCAGCGTCTGATGAACTCTTTCTTCTTTTTTTTCCCCGCTACATATCAGATTTTGCCAACTATTTATCACGAGAAAGACAAGTAGGAATCATCAATAAGTTTGTGCATCATATTTTATTTGCACATTTATTGAATGGAAATGTTTTTGATTCACGCATGCAAATTCATCTTCAGATAGTGTCTTTATAGCAATGTGCGTGCGGTAGATCGCTCAGATTACATTGGGAAAACAGGCGACCGCTGCAAATTGTGCTTTAATGTTTAGCTGCTCAACTGTATGGTATGGAAACCTTATTTACCTGCTAGATGAACCCGTCTCATACAGCTGCCATTGCAATGCTCAGACACTTTGTAGAGAGGAATTTAACACAACCGCCTCTAGGAGTCGCCAATGGAAATAAAACAGACACGCACAAAAAATGTGCGTACGCCTGCCAAAAAGCTGCCGTGAAGCTGCGCACATTCCCACGTTCAGTTCATTGTTAGTAAATCCAAACGTGAGCGATTCTGAGCGTGAAACCTGGCGTACGCAAAGTTTTTGTGCGTACGCAACGTTGATACATGAGGCCCCAGATCACTGAGGAAAAAGAGCAGATTGCTTCAGCTGATAGAAAGACAATAGTCACTCAAATAACCAAATTACTGAAGTCTGCAGGTAAAAAAAAAAAATAAATAAAAAACACAAAACCTTGAAGCAGATGAGCTACTGCAACCAGACAGGCTTACAGCAAACTATATAGTACGGTATAAAGTATTCTACCCCGACCTGACGGCGAGTAAATAAAATGCTCCAACTACTTAAAAAGCAGACAACTATGCCAATTCACTGCATGCGATTTGGCTGGACAGTCTTTCACTGACACTAAAGTTACAAGCAGAACCCGGTGACACTATTTTACTGCTAGTGAGAAAATGAAAGGTCTCTCTCACTTTGTACCTTTGAACTGCTGACATGTTAGTAAGGTAACTTTTCCTCTTCTCTATCACTATTAAAGTGATCCTTGTGGATCCTGACACAAGTGTGTCTGTAGAATAAGTTCTCTCCATGGCATCATTCACAGGTCAGCTTTGATAGCTGCGCAATGTGTGCTCTATTATGCGCACATAGACTGTTATTGCGTTATTCTTCAGTGTCTACGTCACTCATCGGTAGGGCCACACAGAATCGGTGCGTGCAGAAATCCGCTGATTTCTAGCCCATCACTGAGTCTATGTATTTACTTGTGTAAATGTGTGTAAATTTATATTTATTCAATTATTATATTTATTTTAAATAATTTTCCAAATATTATTGTGATATAATTCAGAATTATTAGCCCCCGTTTATTTTTTTTGCTCAATTTCTGTTTAACAGAGAGAAGATCTAATAACCAAGCTATTTTATCTTTGCCATGTTGACAATACATAATATTTGACTAGATATTTTTCAAGACACTTCTATACAGCTTAAAGTGACATTCAAAGGCTTAACTAAACTTAACTGTTTACCAAATAAGTGGATGTATTTTGATTTGCATTGTAAACAGAAAAAAAGTTTAAAAATGTATTATTTTATCTTAAGTTTAGTAAAGATACTCTGAAAATCATTCCGCATGAATCCACTGATTTGCAAAATTCTCCAGTAAAATAGCAAAAAAAAAAACGTCTGCAGATTCTGTTTGGCCTTACTCGTCGGTGAACATCGCTGACAGTTTTAGAGCCAATCGCAGCTCTTTCTGTTTAGCTTGTGACCACAATGACCAATGATAGGAATGTAAGAACTCATTCGACAACGATCAAAAAGCAAGCGGATTTTAGTTTATTTGCTATAAATGCTCATGTTGTCTTCTGTGCATGTATTTAGGTTTTGTTTGAAACATTCAGAAAGTGTTTTCTTTGAGCAAATAATATTAAAGGTACATATAGGAACAGTTCATATACTTGACTGCTTGTACTAAAGGGACAGAATTGTATCATAAATAATATACAGTATAAACATAAATACATTTTTAAAAATTCAAGGCTTCTTGTATTGTAAAGTAAAAATATAATTGTGTATGGAAAGCATCCTCAATGCACCGTGATGCACCAAGATATCGAATTAAACCAAAACGATTACATGATAATCGGAACTAAACTGAACCTTGAGACCAGTGTAGGTACACACCCCTACAAGCTTCCCAACACTGGACAAAAGACGACCAGAAAATGATCACAAAATGCCACATTTGTATGGTTGAGTCAGAATTTAAGCCAACACTGAATATATAAACATGTTTGTCCTAATATTGCCAGCAAGCTTGTGTGTTTATCATTAAGCTTTTTTCTACTATTACTACATTTTGAAGAATTTCTGGTGCGAATACTCTGCAGGTTGTTCAAACCTTGGTACACACCAAAAACAAACTGGTAAACTGCACTGAAAGATTAGCATAGCACTAACTAACGACATGTGAAAACTAAAAACAAAACATAATTTCACAAGATGCCACAATACAATAACACTCCTTTACACATTTTAGAACATTTTCACAAGTTCTCACCTGCTAGAAATACTACCACATGTACACACGTACAACAAGCATGTCCAGCACAGAGCACTGTTTTAAATGGTCATCTCTTTCTCAAAAAATGCTATCATTTTTAGGTTTGGACTTAAAAATAAATATATGAATGACTGAATGCTTAGAACACCGCTGTATGGTCAGGTTTTAATAAGGTCAAATTGCACAGAAGTGCTAAGTAAAAAGGTCATAAGCTTTTGTCGTTCCCTACATAATACTTTAAATTCTTTAATGTCACACCCATCTACACACACACACACACACACGCGCACACACACGCGCACACACACGCGCACACACACGCGCACACACACGCGCACACACACACACGCACACACACGCGCACACACACGCACACACGCACACACACACACACGCACACGCACACACACACACACGCACACGCACACGCACACACACACACACACACACCCATAATGCACTCGTCGATTTCATTATTGCTTTCCTTTAGCTTTGTCCATTATTATTAGGGCTTTATTCTTTATGTGTGTGTATACTACTTATGGATGTGTGTGTTGTATTTCAAAACTTATCTGCATTCAAGTGGTGATAAACAAAACCTGTGAGCATTGATTAAAATTAATTTTGTTAAAAGTAGATGCTTGGTTCTTTATTTTGATACAAGATATGCTTATATATTATTATCAGAAAATAATCTAAGAGCTGTCTTTTTTGTTTAAAAGCTAGCAGAGAAAGAGTTAAAAACAATGCCTTTGTCACTCTGAACACATTACGCCAAACACACCATTCGTGTCTGAGACCAAATGAGTTTGCTCTAAACATGTTTTCTATTTTTAGGAACATACAATGCGCTTTGACAGATTTTTATCTCGTTGATGGTTATCACATGACCAACAAGTACTACAGCATACCTAGAAAGAAGAAGTGTAGTAAACCAACAACCATTGGAGTCATATTTCAAACACACCTCTTTTGGATTAAAACATCCTATACATCTGATTCAGCATAAGCGTTCAAGCAAAAACCAACATATAGGATGTTATTTTAACTGTTTTCTGTTTATTCGACATTAGAACAATGATGCCTTAATTGTGCTCAAGCTCCATGTATATACTGCATTTCAACTTCCATACATGTTCCCATAATCAACCGTTTCTATGGAAAAGGGAGGCTGTTGCCATGACAACCACACCACTGAACTGATCGGATTACATTACAACACATGCAGAACAAAACATCTGCCACAGTGAAAGAGAGACCAGCGCACAATTGAAGAACGCGGAGACGCACAGAGGCGTGTGCGAGTGCTAGTGTTAGCACATTAACAATGCAGCACAGTGTTATGGATACAGCCTTATCAAATAACCGGACAATGACCTGATGTAGTGTTTCTAAACAATAGATTCTTCGAAATTAACTCGACACTGTTGTGATATTCCTAGAAATTAGGCATACAGGTCTCTCTGGATTTTCAGGTGTTAGCACAAACAAACGTACCTTCAGGTAGGCCATAGTGAGCAGAGGCAGCAGGGTGAAGGGCACCAGGTACAGGAGAGCAGGCTGGGCCGCGCGGTGAATACGAGAGGCCACGGTTGCAGTCAACAGACCTGAGGCAGAAAGAGAGAAGATCAAACATGTAACAAATCTACAGTCCAAGTTAATATACATCACATGTTATCGCACAGGCAGTACATGATTGTGACTGTTGACGTCTGCTATTCAGATGTATTTTGCTAGCTTGGATTACAAGCAGACAATGAAGACGCATTCCTGGTCACACCAGTTTTAATCTACGTCCATTTTCAACCACTTTCCAGTTTTCTTTGAGGTGAGGATTTAACGGGGGGTGCATGTATCTTGTCTCGTGATGTTTGAACTCGCATTGCAAAAACAATTTACATATCAATGTAAAAGGAGACAAGGTAAACTGATACAGAGAGTAAAACGGCTTTGAAAGTGCTTTCAACAACCTTTAGAAGTGACTGAAACTGGAAATGCATTAATCACTTCAGATCACATTTCCATCTGTAATTAGCATAGTCTTCTTGTGATTGGATCAACAAAAACACATCTTTATACAATAGTGCATATAATACTGACTAGTGTTCCCAAGCACTTATTGGACAAGTAACCATCAAGAAAAAACTAAAATAAAGCAATAAAAAATACAATTTAAAGAAAACTATTTAAAATATATGCTTAGGGCAGAGAGGATTAAACTTATTACTAAAATAGTATACAATAATAATTCAATCATTTTGCCCATTTACTGTTCCAAAATATTTCTTCATAGATAGACGGACCAAACCTCACATACAAAGAAAACAACAGACAAATTTATAGAGACAGACAAATAGGAGGGCAGACACACAGATGTCAGAAGGCTATGACAGCATGAAAGGTCAAATGGAACGACTGAACTTCAGACAGGTCAGACAACACAATGACAGAATGATAGTCAGATGGAATGATAGAACAAGAGATGCTCTGATACCTTTTTCCCCTCCCAACAGTAGTATTTTTATTATCTGAAATGCTTTAAGTTTTACTGATAGGACAGTGTACAGAATTGGTAAGAAAGCATGGATAGCAGAAAGAGGATGGAGGATCAGCAAAGCAGGGTTGTTGGTAGATCAGATATGGTTGCAGCCGGAAGTTAACGAAAAATATTTAAATTATTTATTAAACTTCCCAATAAATTGATTTTTTTAATGTCTACTCTAACCCCTGATATTTTCTCAGATCTGAATTTTTTTACATGGCTGTTCACATTGTTGTTATAAATGTGGCCTGTATCATATTTGCAGTGTGAACAGATCATAATCCTAAACTGACCCGCAAGCATAAAAGTACAATTACGGACAACACAAAATGTCTAATTATGCGGACAATGTGTATACTGTATAAAATGAGTAAGCACATTGTCAGATTAGGTTTAATATAATGAACTGTAAAGGGTTGTTCTGCTACTACTAATGTGTATTTCGCTAAAACAAGTCTCTTGTGATTTAAAACACTGATAATTTGTGATTTATGATAACCGCGGGGCAGGTCTTTCCGTCCATCGGTGTAACTCATCAAGGCTTAATAAGCAGCTGCAGACCGAACGGTGAAGGCTGAGATGGTTCATCTGTTTGATCTCTGATCTCTCGATAACCTAGCCTACTGTTATTTTACTTCGTTATAAACAACAGCACTTTTTCTCTTGTCGAGAAGTTCACCCTTAAAATGAAAGTGCTCCTTACTTCGCCCACAGATCCACAACACCCTACAATCACCACTCTTCAACTTTGCGATCAACCCACACCCCAATCACTATCAATAATTGGTTAACAAGGGCCAGTTTTGCCTTCAACAATTCTATCAAAATGAACAACTAACTTTCTGTGGTAAAGTAATAGCCCTGTGTGCCATTCTACTATGCTGCAGTAGACGATGTTTGCAGCACAGAATGATGACGCATGTCAATCAAAGATTATGTAAAATTCTCATGAAATCCTACAAAACTGTTCACAAGGCAGTCGCATTGCAAAACATCAGATCTGCGTCTGATTTAAAACTACATATGAAAGTGGCAAAAATCTGAATAATGATTTGTTTCCACTGAGTGGTTTGGTACGCTTTTTGGTACGCTTTTGGTACGCACCATTTTTAAAAACACAGCCGAGACATTACACCACATTAATTTATACATATAATAAAGAGCCATGGTCGACCCACGCTTAAACAAACCATGTCATCGTCTTGATGAGCAGCAAATCCAAGAAGAATAGCAGAATCTACCCTGTGGCCGTCTAAAGGGCGAGTGGTTTCACTTTCTCGAGTACGCTCGCCGTGTCTCTATATTTGAGATAACAAACTTCTTGAGCTGATGATAATAACGTGCATGCGATTATTGAAGTGCTTCTGACATCTGATCCTTTCTGAAACCGGAAGCCAGAAGAGGAGGAGCAAATGATGGTTTCAGCAACCTAAAACATCAACAAACTGACATGTTTAACTATTATCATCACCTTTGGACTATTATGAACTTGGAATGACGAAATTACTAACAAACAAAGTTTACATGTGCTGGTGAAGAATATAGATACAGTTGAGAGGTTTGCTCTGACTGTGGGCTATATGTTGTGTATATCCAAAATAAGTACTAAATGTTTGCTGTGTGTAGTTTTATTGTATATGGTAACATATCAGAGACTGTAAGTGTCTATATGTGTTCATATATGTTACATTTAGTATACTGTATTATTTCCTATCACTGATGTGCAGTTTTACTCAAATCCTGTTCATAGAAAGGTTAATAATAAACATTTATACTCAAGTGTTTGTCCGTTTTGTGAGAAGTGCTTCTCATATGATATGCAAACGACCCGGATTGCTTTATTTTGACATTTCCTCGAGCAAGAATGATGTCAACTGAAACTTTCTGTTGTACACCATGGCCATCAAACCATTGGTGCCCTTTTAGCAGTGGAAACGCAAGCCTGTCAAAGGTGACTCGTACAGTCCCATACCGTACTGTACAGGACTCAGTGGAAACGGCCCATAAAAAAAGACCAGATTCTATGCGGTTTGCGCTGCTCACACCGTCAAGACAAAAACAGATCTGTGTCACATATAGGTAAGAAAAATCAGTGTAAACATAGCCTATTAAAAACGGGCAGACAGTTGACAGAATGTTGCTTAATGTCAGACAGAACATCTGAGAACACCAGCACTCTGGATAGGACAGAACGACAAACCGATAGACTGTCAGAAATCATCAGACAGACATAGCACCAGAGAATCTTAGAACTAGAAATAGACACAACGATATACAAGAATAACTGAACTATAGACAGAATGACAGAAGGAATGTCAAACAGAACAGCAGACAAAACCATAGACATAAACAGACAGACACAACTAAAAAAGACAGAACAATAAACTGAACGACAAACAGTTTGCTCAATTGACAAATAGATCAAAAGTGTGTTCAAACTACTTTCTTGTGATACGCACCAACAAAGTAACCGATGAGGGTGCAGTGGAAGTAGGAAACCCTCTGCATGCGGCCTGACATGTTGGCAGGGCCGGGCACTTCGCCGGTGGCCTGTTTTTTATAGTTGTCATATCGCAGCACGAAACACAGCAGCAGGCCTGGCATGACGATATCGCCGATGCCCAGCATGGAGAAGTGGCTGCCGGTGGAGCTAGGAAACACCAACTTGCCGGGCAGCGAGAGACGGGGAACGTCCCGACCCATGCCAGGCCCCAGGTGAAGTTTGCGTGACAGCACGTCCAGTGGGTTGTCTGCAGGCTGTGTGGCCACTTTCACCATCACGTTGCTGTTGAAGATGTAGGCGGAGAAGAAGACCTACAGGAGAAGAGGGATGGAGATGAGTCAGTCGGACAGAGCAGCTTGCCCTGCTGTTTTAAGACGCTGAGAGAGAGTGAAGTCAGGCTTGTGCAAGCGTGTTTGGGAGTGATTTTTGACACTGACGAAAGAGGACTCGACAGTCAGCAGCGGGTGAGATGAGAAACACACTTTAGGTTTGCAATTAAAAATGAATGGATGTATTTTGAGGATACACTTGGTATTCAGCTTTCATTAATATTCGTTATTAATAACCTATATTTTTTCAGTGCATGGATTGACTGCTTCAAATCCTCGAAATGTACATACGTGTTTAACTTAATGGAATAATAAATAACAAATGCACATTTTTCAGAAAGTTGGCCCATGGTAACCTTTGATTTGGCCCACCATCCCATCTGAAAAGAGAGGGAGAATGATGGGCATGGTTTAGGTAGGTATTCATTCATTCATTTTCTTTTTGACTTAGTCCCTTTAATAATCTGGGGTCGCCACAACATAATGAAAAGCCAAGTTATTCAACAAATGTTTTATGCAGCGGATGCCCTTCCAGCTGCAACCCATCACTGGGAAACACCCACACACTCATTTACACACATACACTACGGACAATTTTAGCTTACCCAATTCACCAGTACCGCATGTCTTTGAACTTTTGGGGAAACCGGAGCACCCGGAGGAAACCTACAGGAATGCACGGAGAACATGCAAACTCCACAAAGAAACGCCAACTGACCCAGCCGAGGCTCGAACAAGCAACCTTCTTGTTTTGAGGTGAAAGAACTACCTCCTGTGCCACTATGTCACCTGATTTAGGTATTGTCAAAGTAACGTCAAAGTAAGTAGTTTGCTAAAGTAATCTTTTATTTGTTTGTGTTATTGTTAAGCTACAAAAAGATAGTTTCAATTTATATGTCGTAGTTAGGTTTGAAACGTACAGTCACCCGATGGATTGAGAAAAATGCAGAGACTTTGGTGAGCAAATGAAGGCAAAGGCAGATTCTCGTTGACAAGTGTATTATGCATTGAACTCCACTGTGTTATAAATGTGTTTTGCAATAACAATTAAATGTTTATTGCAATAAGTTATCATTAAAAAGCTATACTGCATTAATTAATAAGATTCATGTTTTCGATTTATTATTAAATATCATAAAATAAATTAGGAAATTTCCCATGGTAACTTTAATGTAAAATATTTTCTTATATTTATTTTCGGCCCATGGCTCTCAATTATATTTAATGTTTTGGCCCTTTATACAAAAAAAGTTTGGGCACCTCTGTTATAGGCTATTAAAATACATTTTATTTATTCACTTTGACCTATATTAGGCAGCCAGCAGCAGGTGAGATGGGAAATGCAGAAATTTCAGATTTGCAATTATAAACAAATTAATGTATTATGAGGGGTCACTTAGTTATTAATATTTACTGGAAAAGTTATTATTCTGTCATCATTTAATCATCCTCCACTAGCTTTAAACCTGTTTGAGTTTTTTCCTGTTCTGAACACAAAAAAAACATATCATACATAAAAATGTAGGAAACCCATAGGCACTGACTTTGAACGTATTATATTTTCCGACTATGGAAGTCAATGGCTACCAGTTTTCCTACATTCTTTAAAATAACTTCTTTTGTTTTTAACAGAAAAAAGAAACCACCCAAGAGGGAGTGAAGGTGAGAATTGTTATTCTTGGGTAAACTTTTCTTTTTACAGCAGATTCCTCCAGGTGTGTTTGTCTGTAATGAATAATCTGTTAAACCGCTACTTAAAGAGCTTATAAGGA